TTCATGATATACAATGGAGAAAGATATTTGATAAAAGCTACAATAAACGTTGTCTACAAAGTATTCAATAATTTGTAATTTGTGTGCTCATAAAACTTCTAATATTTGTTATTTTTATTTCCAATTTCTCTATTCGTGTGATAAATAATAATATAATTTGTAAATGCTTTATAAATAACATTAACAATATGTGATTATTACATCCCGTGCAACGCACGGGTGAAATACTAGTTATTTAAATAATAATTAAATATGTTAATTCGAATACTTTTGAAAAATAACTTTGATGGCTATATAATACAGTATAATGGGTTATTGATAATAAATGTAAAGTTATAGATGTACTATTTTTAATATTTGATGATAAAATTATTATCATCAAAACATTGAAGAATAAATTGGGCAACCCAGCCCAACCCGGTAGAAACAAAAAAAATTGAAGGGAAAAAAAATAGGCCCGACTCGGGCCCGAACCGGCCGGGCCGGTTCACATTTTAGGGGGCCCCGAGCCCGCACCGGGATTAGAGGGGTTCCGGTTGGCCCGAACCGGCCCCAAGACTGGGTACCGGGCCAGACCGGTTCCGGGCCGAACGGTCCGACCCGAGTCCACCCCTAACCGGATCCATAATGAAGTTTAAACACCAACGTTCACAATTCATATTTAATTCATTTTAAAGTTCATAAATGTGACCTTTAGTTATAAACTATAAAACTGTATACGACTATACCCTAATAAAAGGACACTTTATAGGACTTTTCAAATTATAGTTTTCACAAGCTTGAAAATATTATTTAAGTGTATCCATATATTTTTACTAATACTAAGGCTTGCACCTCATTGTGCGATAATACTTGTACAATTTTGAAAACCGATGTCAATGTATTGAGTATATCATACTTTCCCCAAAAGTTCTTCCAATTGGAGGTTACGAAGTTTGACCAGCGATAAAGTTAAATGATTCATGTGAAAACTCAGATTGTTTTAATTAAATAAAATTTACATGTTCAAAAACTACATCAAAACTGCTACAAAGGCTGCAAAAAAAAAACTATAAATTAAGAGCTATGTAGCACCGATACCGGTACGCGGAAACGGGTACGGGGATACGTCAAAACCAAAAAAGTAGGATACGGATACGGGGCCATATTTATAAATATTAAAAGTTATGGGGGTGTATCTACAAATATTAAAAGTTATAGGGGTCTATTTATAAATATTAAAAATAGTTTTTTTTAAATATATATACATATAATATCCTATGATGTCTACCCATTCATTGCATTGAAGCATTTTCCTTTTTCAAAATACTTAGTAATAAATTCATAATATTTCTCATATACACTAGTGCATCTCGAAATATAAATGTAGTCAATAAGTCATTAATTTAAAATGAGAAATAAGTCAAACAACTACAATCTTGAAATTAAAAGTGCAAGTACCCAATTCGGAGTATGAGTTAAATAATTCTGCTTGGTGGTTTTGGCCACGAGAGGAGCTGGCGTACGTAAGTGACAGCTCCCAATCCTTTCAAGATGCTAATCACAAGGTCCTCCTCCGAAATTGGATTCTGGGCAAGAGCTAATGCTTGAGCAATAGCCTGCATTTCAGTGAGATAATCCAGAATGGATCGAGATCCCTTGGTGGTTTTGGCCAGTGTAGATTTGAGTGAAATAATTCTGCCACGAGAGGAGCTGGCGTACGTAAGTGACAGCTTGTCCCAAGCTTGACGTGCCGTAGAGGCCGATGAGATGAGAGGCTGAATGGTGTCAGCACAACTGCCAAGAAGTGCACTAAGAATAGTCTTGTCTTGGCGGTACCAGATGGTGTAGCATGGGTTGATCTGGGTTTTGGCTGAATCTAGATATTTGTCGGGAACGAATCCGACAAGATCACCATCGACATAGTCTTCAAGTCCCAATCCGATAAGGGCGGAGTGAACTTGGCTTTTCCAAACTGGATAGTTGGAAGTAGTGAGTTTAATTGGAAAATGGGTTGCGGCGGTGAGGGAAACCACGACAGTGGCGGTGGTGATAACCATCGTGATAGGCCGGAAAAAAATAGAAACTATAAGCTCTTTAGAGAATGGCTCTTGATACCATGAAAGTGTGGAATTTGTATTGAGTAATTGTGATGTACACTTGGGGAATTTATACACGTATATGAGATAAGCTAGAGCTAACTACCTAGCTAATACAGTGGATCAGGCTACGGGCTAGGAGTTTTAAATATACATTGACTAGTCTATGATATAATCCAATAGCAACAATAATAATAATAATATTTATGTTTTAATACGCCCTCGCAAGATGAAGGTTCCATTGGAAACGCCCATCTTGGACCGAAAACGTTCAAAGAGAGACTTTCCGAGTGGCTTTGTCAATATATCAGCTATTTGAACTTTATTGGAGACATGTTGAACCATGAGTTGACCACTCTCAACCAAATCACGAACAAAAAAGAAGTCAAGGGCCACATGTTTCATACGGGAATGAAACACGGGATTAACACAAACATGGGTGGCCCCTTGATTATCACAAAATATTCGAGGAGCAGTAGATAGTCGAATTCCAAGTTCTGAAAGTAGATTCCGTATCCATAAAACCTCAGCACTAGCATTTGCAACAGCTCGAAACTCTGCTTCAGTGGAGGATCGAGCAACCGTCTTTTGCTTGACTGATTTCCAAGAAATAATATTTGGGCCTAGATATAGAGCATAACCAGTGGTAGATTTACCACCATCATGAATTCCGCCCCAATCGGAGTCAGAAAAGGCTGTAAGAGGGAGAGAAGAGGACCGCTTGAGAAATAATCCATAATTAATGGTGCCCTTTAAATAGCGGAGAACGCGTTTGACCCCTTGATAATGTGCATCGGTGGGAGCATGCATAAATTGAGAGAGACGATTTACGGCAAAAGATATATCCGGACGTGTGAATGTTAGATACTGTAATAACCCAAGTGCCTTTCGATAATGGGAAGCATCTGCAGCATGCGTACCATCAGTGAGCTGGAGAGGTGAGCTAGAACTCATGAGAGTGACAGTTTCCTTGGCACCATCCATTCTGCACTCATCAAGAATATGTAGGATATATTGTCTTTGTGAAAGAAAGATACCATCCGGATGAGGGATGGTCTCCACGCCAAGAAAATGATGTAGGGCCCCAAGATCTTTCACAGAAAACCGATGAGTGAGTTGGCATACAAACTTGTCCAGTGCATGCAAATTATTTCCTGTGAGCACAATATCATCTACATATACAAGAAAATATAATATAACATCATGATGAGTATATATAAACAAAGAGGCATCGGCACGAGATTTTCGGAACCCCATGGAGATGAGAAAACGTGACAGTTCCAAGTACCAAGCACGGGGTGCCTGTTTGAGCCCGTATAATGCTTTTTGTAAACGACAGACATGCTTGGGATGTGCTGAGTCAATGAACCCGGATGGTTGAACCATGTATACTTCTTCGGCAAGAGAGCCGTGAAGGAAGGCATTATTAACATCTAGTTGTCGCAGGGGCCACTTTCGGGAGAGGGCAATAGACAAAATGATACGAATAGTTGCCGGCTTAGTGACCGGACTGAAAGTTTCAGCATAATCGCGTCCCGGTTGTTGAAGAAACCCCCGAGCAACTAGTCTAGCTTTGAATCGAGCAACACTGCCATCTGCGTGTCTCTTAATACGGAATAACCATTTGCAAGTTATTGGTGTCTGAGTTGGCCGGGGTACTAGCGTCCAAGTTTGATTCCGGCGGAGAGCAGCCATTTCTTCCTCCATAGCAGAGCGCCACCTAGGATCACGTAAGGCTTCCTTCACACTAGCAGGTTCTAGGACGGGAGAGACAGGATGACAGGTGGTCAGGTTTACGAACGGGCTGCCAAAATATTTTGGATTTGGAGCCCGTACGCGGGTAGGACGGGGAGGAGTAAGTTGTGGGATTGAATTAGAATCTGGAGTAAGGGTTAAAGTTTCTTGAGTGGGTGGTGGGGTAGGATTTGACGTAGGCTGCATGGGAGGGGAGGAATTTGGTTGTTGATGTGTGGAAAGATTGGAGTTGGAATTATGAGCTGGAGTGGATAAATTATTATTGGCCGTAAGTGGAGGAGAATTTTGAATTTGAATTTGAATTTGAATTGGGTGGAGTATGAAGTGGTGGGAAAGAGGAGGTTGTTTGGGATAAGGGAGGTGTAGTAGGGATGGCCGAAAGTTGGGGATAGTTGATAAGAGAAGTGGAATTATTTGAATTCAAATGGATAGAATTAAGAGGAGATTGGGGCGTGGGTTGTTGACCAGGACGTATGATGCATGAATTATTTGGCGCATGCACGTACATAGGATTTTGACGGAGAGGGTAAATATGTGGGATAAATTTTACATGCCGACTGATGTACACACGGTGTGTGGTGTAATCTAAGCAAAAGTATGCAGACTGAGAAGGAGAGTAGCCTACAAAAATACACGGAGTGGACCGGGGTTGGGTTTTGGTATGAGCATAAGGTCGTAACCAGGGATAACACAGACAACCAAATGGTTGTAATTTAGTGTAGTTGGGTGGGTGTTTATGAAGTCGAAAATAAGGGGTGTCATTGTCAAGGACCGGGGTGGGAAGGCGATTAATTAAATATACTGCGGTTTGAAACGCATAGGACCAATATTTAACAGGGAGACCAGAATAATGTAACAGTGCTAAACCTGTGTCAACTATGTGACGATGACGACGCTCCGCTAGACCATTGTGTTCAGGGTTGTGAGGGGTGGTGGTGATATGAGATATACCATGCGTATTAAGATAGGTACGGAGTTTAATGTACTCACCGCCATTGTGAGAAAATATAGTTCTAATTTTATGTTGGAAATAATTTTCAACAAGACGGTGAAATTGTGGGAAAATAGTGGACACTTCAGACTTATGTTTAAGTGGATATAGCCAGATATAGCGAGTCAGAAAATCCACAAAAATAACATAGTAGTTATATCCATCAACAGATTTATCAGAAGTGCTCCAGACATCAGTATATATTAGTTCAAGAGGACTAGTGGCACGCATGGTATTAACAAAAAAAGGCAATTTGATACTTTTATTGATGGAGCAGGACATACAATGAAAATCACATTGTGGATTACACTGAATATTTTTATTTTTATGAACTAAAAACTGAAGTACACGACTGGAAGGATGCCCCAGAGTGTGGTGCCAACGTGAGACATCCGAGAGGTGGGTGGCATTGACTTGAGGTACAGGCTTGAACGGGACATAGTAGACATCATGAATGTTCTCCCCTCGTAGAAGTGGCGCCCCCGTGACCCGATCCTTGACAAGAAAATGAGTGGAAAAGAATTCAACAGAAACATTGTTAGTTTGACATAATTTAGCTACGGAAATCAGATTTTTTTGTAATTTAGGAACACAAAGGATATTAGAGACGGATAGGGAACGAGAGGTGTTAGTGGGTAGGGTGGTAGAACCTGTGTGTGTGATGGAAAGAGCCTTACCATCCCCTAGACGAACCTCTTCCGGACCGCCATAATCTGTGTATGTGGGGAGAAGATTAGCATCGGATGCGACATGGTGAGATGCACCGCTATCAAACATCCATTGTTGACCGCTTGGTGATTGTGTGGTGGTGATATGATTGACCGCCGGATGTCCTTGTTGAGACGGGTAGGGGATATTGTTATCACGGAGAAATCGTTGAAGTTTGCGGCAGTACTTCACCTCATGACCGACGTTGTCACAAAACCGGCATACCACCTGTGATGATGAGAAGCGAGAAGAACCAGAGGAAGCACCTCTGCCCCGCCTTGAGAAACTGCCTCGACGATCTGGATTATAAGTGGGTCGTCGGTCAAGGTTATTGGACTGCCTGGGAGCAGTCTGGGTTGCATTTGCCGTAGGAATAAGAGGCTAATTTGAGGCAGCAGCATCATTGACCTGTTGTTCATGTTCCAATAAAATATCCTGCAGCTCCGTAAGAGGTAATACAGTTTCCCGAACACGAATAGCTGATTTGATGTCACTATAGTCCGATCCCAATCCTTTCAAGATGCTAATCACAAGGTCCTCCTCCGAAATTGGATTCTGGGCAAGAGCTAATGCTTGAGCAATAGCCTGCATTTCAGTGAGATAATCCAGAATGGATCGAGATCCCTTGGTGGTTTTGGCCAGTGTAGATTTGAGTGAAATAATTCTGCCACGAGAGGAGCTGGCGTACGTAAGTGACAGCTTGTCCCAAGCTTGACGTGCCGTAGAGGCCGATGAGATGAGAGGCTGAATGGTGTCAGCACAACTGCCAAGAAGTGTACTAAGAATAGTCTTGTCTTGGCGGTACCAGATGGTGTAGCATGGGTTGATCTGGGTTTTGGCTGAATCTAGATATTTGTCGGGAACGAATCCGACAAGATCACCATCGACATAGTCTTCAAGTCCCAATCCGATAAGGGCGGAGTGAACTTGGCTTTTCCAAACTGGATAGTTGGAAGTAGTGAGTTTAATTGGAAAATGGGTTGCGGCGGTGAGGGAAACCACGACAGTGGCGGTGGTGATAACCATCGTGATAGGCCGGGAAAAAATAGAAACTATAAGCTCTTTAGAGAATGGCTCTTGATACCATGAAAGTGTGGAATTTGTATTGAGTAATTGTGATGTACACTTGGGGAATTTATACACGTATATGAGATAAGCTAGAGCTAACTACCTAGCTAATACAGTGGATCAGGCTACGGGCTAGGAGTTTTAAATATACATTGACTAGTCTATGATATAATCCAATAGCAACAATAATAATAATAATATTTATGTTTTAATATGAGATAGGTGTGTACCCATAAACATAAGCTCTAAGTTTACTCCATAGTCAGGCATGAATGAAATGCAGGGTAGTGAAAAGAGAAAACGTAACTTGAAGAGTTGGGGCTTCTTCACTTGGAAACAAAACTGTCATGGCTCTAATAACAACGAAACCAAAGGACGTGTTTATCAAGAAAGATGTAACTGGAGTGCAGAACCTGATTGAAAGTTGAAACCACCTGGGCAGCCTTGGATTGGGTCACCTTTTCATATAATTTCACCTTTTACAAAATTTTCTTAAACTCTGCTTTGAACACCAGAGCATGTGCTCAGCCAGCCATGCATACTGCTATTAGTAACCTACATTATGTTGAAACTCCTTCATGTTTTCTTAATATTTATTTTTGGGTTCTTCCTTTCATGAAATTTCTGCATGATTATCTCGTCATCGGCAGATTCAATCAAATCCACACATGGGTTATGAACGGCATATTATTTAATAGGATGTTTCTGGCAGATTGGATTTGTTCTTCAGAAGCCTCCCTACTGACTCCAAGTCGTGTTTTTTAGAATACTCCAAGTCGTTTATATGGATCCATTATGTTGATCCTGGGAGAGATAGCTTCACTCAAGAAAATTAAAAGTAAAAACTTTAGATATTGGGTAATGAAACAATAGGCAGTATAACTCAAAGAGTCGTAACTCATATTAAAAGACTTGAGTGACATCCATCAAAATTCGAAACTACTTCGAACAACATAAGAGAAAGTAAAAAGAGTAAAATTAGAAATTACTTCAAATAGGACTAAAACTATGGCAAAAACTCAAAATAGGACTTGTTATGTTTTTTTTCCAAAATAGGACCATAGTGGTCCTATTGGAAACATACTCATTTCTTCCTTCCATTCTTACCCCTCCTTTAAATATTAGTAAAAGATAGCTAAAAGTCATAATTAAATGTTTAATTCATAATAAATTCGAAAAAATTTCAATAATTCGTAGAAAAATAATAAAAAAATTAATAAAATTTTTATAAAATAAAAAATAAGAATTTTTTTTTTAATTTTTTTTTTTAAAATTAATAAAAAAAATAGTAAAACTCCATAAAAAAAATTAAAAAAAATATGGATACGTTTCCCACCGCCTGTACTACCTCCCTGAACCACCACCTCCGATCGGTGTAAAAAATGCCACTTTTTTTTTTTTTTAAATTCCACAAAAATGGCATATTTCTCTATGAGAATGCCAACATTTTCATTCTGCCAACTTGAATCCTTTTGACTTTTGTCAAAAATATGGCATTCATAATTTTTTTGGCATTTTTTTACCCCGGTGACAGGAGGTGGTGGTACCGCCTCCCTGCACCACCACCTCCGACCGTTAAAAAAAATGTCATATTTCCTACAAACTTCCATTTTTTTCGGAAAATGCCAAAAATATGGCATATTTCTCTTTGAGAATGCCAACATTTTTTTTCTTCCATCTTAAATCATTCTGAATTATGCCAAAAATATGGAATTCATAATAAATTTGGCATTTTTTCCCCAAATGACTAGAGGTGGTGGTGCTGGGGCGGTATAGGCGGCGGTGGCAAAAAAAATATTTTTTTGATTTTTTTTTAATTTTTTTTTATTTTTATTTTTTTTAAATTTTTTTTTTTAATTTATTATTATTCATAATATTTTTATTAATTTTTTGGTATATTTTACGAATTTTTATTATTTTTTATTATTTTATTATGAATTAAAACATTCCAATAGGTATAAGGGTATATTTGTCCAAGACAAACATAATTAGTCCTATGGAAACATAGTTTATTTTTTGGTCCTATTTGTGCAAAGTGAATGACTTTTAGTCCTATTTTGATAATTAACTCTAGTAAAATTGTCAGAAATCAGGAGTATTCAGATTATTCATTATTGACTCATGAGAAGGATAAGTATCTCTATTTGTTTTTTTGTCTGAAACGGATGTTACCAAATGCTTTCCTATTTAGAAAAAAAAAAGAATAAATATAGAAAGAATGTCATTTCCAGGGCCAGTCCTGGGACATGGGCAGGAGGGGCATGCGCCCAGGGCCCTTTGCTCCAGTAGGGCCCATAAATTTCTCAAACATATGTGTGTACATAAATATTTTAATTATATATACATCCTATATCTATAAAAAAAATCAAACATATATTTTTAGATACTTCTAATTTGTTATTTACCATCTACACGATACAAGTATATAATTTAGAAACATCCACATTAGAATTCGTTGGGAACACATTTCACCATTTCTTTTGAATCATTACGGATTATTACATTAAATTTAATCTTTTAGTGACTTAGTGTGCATGTCTTATGTATATCCAGAATTCATTGATGTATATCCAGAATTCATTGATGACTCATTTCTTTGCAACATCACCCCAAATGCTTAAAAAGGGTCAATTTGTAATATCATTAAAAATGTAAACTAAAGGGAAGTCAGCTGTTTTAGCAATTTTTAGTAAATTGAAACAATCAAATAGATGAAAGATGTATTGGGCTAAGTACAAGAAATATATTTTTATATGAGAAGTAAATAAAGTAAAGTCAACTAAAATAGAGATGGAGCTTTATTATTGTTTTGCTAATGTGGAAGATGAAGTGCGTACAATCTATCTTTTACAATCATAGACCCAGGCTATTTATAACCAGTGGCCAAAGCTGTTTTCCTATTCCTTTGCCGATTTTTCTCTTGATCCGCACCTCTCCCATCAAAATAGGAATTTAGTTAAACAACTCTATCCTCAATTGGCTGCACGTTAGAGTAGTGGACTTGGTCTCTCATTTGCTTACATGTAATCCACTTTGCCCCGGCCCATGTGATAAATATCAATTATTTTATTGAACTAATTTTGCGGCCTAACAATTGCCCCTTTCGAGAAGTTGTCGCGTATGGGTGTGAATATCCATCCGTTAAGCAGCAACTTTTCGAAATTTTGAAAGAACTTAAACTTGTCATCATTGATTATTGCGCTTCACGACTCGTCATCTTCCTGACGAGGCATGTCGTCAACCCATCACTCGTATGTTGACACGCTTCCGTCAATCCATCTTGTCTGGCAAAATGCTTTCTTCACCTCGACAATTGTTTAATAAGACGACTTCGTCAGGTTCCATGCAAGTCGTTTCTACTTTAATCCGTCACTTTGACCGAATTGAAGCAATGAAGAACGAAAGACGATATCCCATCATCCTTCTCCAACTTGTGTTGATGACTAGACACTGGGAAATTGAAACTTTGTCCATGTTGAAGTCTAAACTTTAGTTGGCAAAAGAGACTCCGTCCATCTTTGGACAAATGCCGAGTTGGGCTCCAAGAGTGTGATCATATATATCCTGCAAAAACTTTGAATTAGGGGTGGACCGGTTCCGGTTCGGGCCCGGCCGGGCCTCGGTTCAGAAAAAGGAGGCCCGAGCCCGAACCGGTGGTGGGCGGTTCCGGTTCCGGTTCCGGGCCAGAACCGGGCCGGGCCGGGCCACCCGGAATGTTTTTTTTTTTTTTTTTTCTTCTTCTCTTATTTAACCCCCTACCCCTCCCCCTCCACCCCAAACCACCCCAAATGGCCCAAAATACCTAATCCAACCCAAAACTTAAAAAAATTTCAAAAAAAAAAAAAAAAAAATTAAATTCCGGCCCGAACCGGGCCCGGCCCGGCCGGGCCGGTTCACTAAACTGGAGGCCCGGGCCCGGACCGGTATACCACCGGGCCGGGAGGCCCGAACCGGAACCGAACCGGTTAACCGGGCCGGTCCGGGCCCGCACAGTAGCGGGCCGGTCCGGTTCCGGGCCGGTCCGGTTCCGGGCCGGTTGGCCCGGCCCGAGTCCATCCTTACTTTGAATACTATTTCGTTTATGGTTTTAGTAATATCGTCAACATGAGGATTTATGATTCATGTCAATGTCGTCCGTATTGTCTCCTTATGTTTTGGAGCTTTTGTTGTCATGCTCTTAGAGCATATGCTTCTGTTGTGTATTTCTGTAGTTTTGGCCAAAACGTATCGTATGGGATCTATTAGGACTGTGATCCATGATATTCTCATGGGCAGCCTAACCCTTCCCATTAAATTCTGCAAGCCTCCCGTCAATTGTGTTTTGACGTGTTGTAAGGCTTCGTTTGATGTAAGCCCCCCGTCAATTGTGTTTTGACGTGTTGTAAGGCTTTGTATGTCAGGATATCGTCTCGTCCATTGTCCACGGTTCCTGTGCAAAGAAGAATTTTTAAACGTCGGGCATTGCTTGGCTAGAAGCCAACGGCCCTCCGACGCTTAAGTTAGTGATCATTTCTACATAAATGAAAGTAATAAATTAAGAATATGTATACCAACTCAGATAAGTACTTATCATCATAACTTGTTTATTAAATTATCAGACGACATGCCCCCATGTCCAATGATTTAAGTCATGTCATCTGGTTTATCTCGTCACAGGAGTGACGACAATATGTAAAAGAAAATAATAAACTAAAAGTGAAACAACTTTGAGGGTACCGTATTGCAGCTCTTCAGAACTTGTCTACTATCTGACGACAGTACATGCCCCCTGTTTGACGACTTTAATCATGTCGTCTGATCTATCTTTAAGTGACGACTTGTTCCTCATGCCTCGAATAAGGTTTTCCATGCTTGTAATCATGCCTCCTGGGAGATTCTGAGTTCTTGTTCCTCCTTCATGCTCAATTTATTTACGACGGAATCGCAAGTCTTCTTCTAGACGGATGAAAGTCAACGTCTTTGCTTGGACATCTTTGAAGGACCGACGAGGGTATTACATCAGTTCGTGATACAACTCCGAATTTTCATACAAACTTCTTCTGAATGCTTCAATGATGGTAGAGACGTCACATTTCGGGACCGACACCTTTTCCTT